AATAAATGAAGGGAAAAAAAACCTAAACACAAAAGAAAAGAAGTTCATCCAGCCTCCTCAGTCTTGTTGTGCAGTTCTGTAATATTTACAAGCCCCCCCTCCCCGAAAAAAATAAAAATAAAAATCACAAATCCCCCTCACCAAAACGGCACTGCACCGGCAGTCCTGTGTTAACTTTAAAAAAATGAAACAAAAGGGGAAAAAAGGAGATGCGCAGATCAAAGACATGCTTTTAATATACAGGAGAAGATGAGAATACAAAATAGAAATTATTACCGTACATGTCCAGCATGCAGGATTAATATTTAATGCAGGTTTTTTTTTTTTTTGCTTTTATTTCTATATATATTCGAATATAACCAAGCAGGCAATAAATCAATGAAATGTTGCATAAAATGTCACCCCCCACCCCCGCCCCCTCCCTGGTAGACAGGAGTTGAATTTGCATAAAGTGGAGTCACGCTTTTTCCATTTTTTTTTTTTTTTTTTTTTTTTTTTTTTTTTTTTTTTTTTTTTGGAGAGGGTAAAGAAATTTCGGGGATCAGGTTTGCAGGCTGCGATGCTGTTGGGGAGCCAGGCCTGTTTGTTTCTCTTTGCATAAACAGTGTCGTGAATTTGACAAAGCAAAAACTTCTGCCTTGATCCCGTGGCTCACGCTTTACGCACAGGTAAGTTTTAAAAAGCTGCAGCCTCAGAGGAGAAGAATGTTCAGCAGAGGTTCCTCTTTTTCCCCCAAAGAGTCTCTTCACTACAAGCAACTAATCTACAAAAAAAGTACAGCGACTGATCGGGCTTTGCTCTGCTCTTTGCTTCTCTTTTGACACATGGAGGCATCTGTAGATGGTTATATATGAGAATAATATCTATCTGATTGATTATTCTTCTATTATGAATATAATTTCACTGTTATTAGTAAGAATCAAACAGGGTGCGTGGACTTCTACTGTGTGTTCAGCAGAAGAGTCAATCAAGGTGAGGTGGAGGGAAGGGGAGAGTTTGTTGTAGAAAGGGCGACTCACATGAAAAACTCTGGTGATGAGGGGTTGTCGCTGGTGGAGCCCGCCTCGCGGAACCCGCTCCCGGCCCCTGACCCCGTCAGCTTCTCGCACTTGAGTTTGTAGGCGTCCCTCTCCCGCGCCAGCCGGCTGATCTCTGCCTTCAGCTGCTCCACCTGGTTCATCAGCTGGGTCTTCTCGTTCTCCAGCACGTGCTTCTGCTGCACGCGCTTGAACCTGCACGACTGCGCGTAGCCGCGGTTCTTCAGGGTCCTCCTCTTCTGCTTGAGGCGGATCACCTCGTCCTTCGTGAAGCCCCGCAGGTGTCTGTTCAGCTCCCGCACAGACATGGACACCAGCTGCTCGTCGGAGAAGCGGTCCTCCACGTTGAGCCCGCCGCCTCCGCCGCTGTGGTGCGCGGCCGCCTGGCTCAGGTGACCGTGTGGATGGTGGTGGTGGTGGTGGCGGTGGTGGTGCAGAGTTTGATGGGACTCTGGGGACACTGGAGATGGGCTGTCGGGGTCCTGGCTGTGGTGGTGATGGTGCTGGCTGTGCGGATGGTTGTGTCCCCCCGGGTGTCCGGAGAGTTCCTCGGCGTGGTGCGGGATGCCTCCCGCATACGGATGATGATGCTGCTGCTGGCCGTGTCCGTGGTGGCTGTGGTGGTGGTGCGGGCCCCTGTAGCCCTCGAAAGCGCCTTGCTGCTGCTGCAACTGCTGCTGAACGTGTGGAGCCTGCGGGTGGCCGTGCGCCGTGGCACCAATCAGGGCCTCCACAGCGTCCTCAGGGGTCAGGCTCAGCGTCTGCGGGTCTATCTGCTGGTGGTACCCGCTGTTCGGCATCCAGTACAGCTCCTCCAGGTGGTGCTTCTGCTCTGTGGGGCTGAAGCTGGGCGAGGAGGGCACCGAGCTGCAGGGCGTGCTAATTGGAGTGGATGACACGGAGCCCTGGGGTTGGAGGCGGTTACATTGGCGCACCCCGTTGCGATCAAGCCCGACCAGGCCTTCCTTCTTCACGTCAAACTTCATCAGGTCAAAATCGTTGACATATTCCAGAGCCAGAGGGCTGCTGGGCAGCTCCGGGCCCATGCTCATCTCTGCGCTCATGCTGTTGTCGCGACTCTTCTGCAGATATGTGAGCGTCGCAAACACAGATTTATTAATCAAAGTTTCTTCTTTTCTTTCTTGTTTCATGCAATTGTTCTTTTGGCTCCTCCACAAATCTGCACCGACTTGCTGTAGCATGAAACACCGTGATTGGTGGATGCAGAAAGAAAAAAGAAAAAGAAAAAAAGTTGTGGAGAAAAACTTTGAGACGATTGCTCAGCGTGGTGTTTGCGTCATATAGCCTACTTCTGCTGGAATAATCTGGCAGAAACCGGGCAAGAGGTAGAAAACAGTGCTGCCTCGGTGCAACTTTTCTTAGTCCTTTCAGCAGTAGTCAGTTCAAAGAAAAAAAACAAAACACGATAAATAATAAAAAGAAAAAATACCAGGTTTGCGCGCTGAGACGGGCACCAGTCCACGTCGCAACTTCTTGGTAGCCTAATCAGTCCCTTTTTTCCTCCATGAAAATAAAGAAAGGAGCCAGGAAGCAAAGCGAACAGAACGTCTGTTTTCCTTTCTTTTTTTTTCGCTGAGAAGCTGCTTTTCCAGCTCTGCACCGCAGAGGTTTAAAGACTCGCCTCTCTCTCACTCTCCCTCCACTCTCTGGTATCCAGCAGTCTGCGCTCAGAGCCAACCGACGCTTTATCCTTTTAGCGCACGGTGACGTCGCACTGGAAGGCAGGTTCTATGGCGAGGAGCGCTCCAATGGGAGAGAGAAGCTGAGGATGAAAAAACCGACACAGCCACACGACACGGGAAAGAGAGAGAGAGAAAGAGGAGGAGGAGGCATCTCAGGCTTGACAGGCAGAGACAGTCAGCTGACCGACTTCCCTAAAAGCAGAAGGTGGGAGGACAGAGGAAGAAAGACATGCTTCATTATATGGAGTTTCTTCTTCTATACTGCTTAAGATATTAGATCAATTAAAAACTGAGTCAAACAAACGTCCAAGTAAAGTTTTTTCCAGTTGATCAGAGAATCTCATCCAGCTGTTCCACAAAAGAAACATGTAAGAGTTCTTGCGCCGCGTGCGTAAAAGTTTAAAAGGAACGCGTTTTTTAATTTATCTCCCAGATAATCACCACTGCATTCATATCACCTATATATAAAAAAAAAAACAAGTTTGAGGTTAGATCTCCCTCTAATACAAATCATCTAGGCTGTGCAGCACATTATGCCAAACTATCATCTATCTCTCAAACGGCTTAAAGACGCACATTTTTATTTTTCCAAAGATATACATCAGCTTCCTTTTAACAACTAGAGTCCTAAAAAATACAATATAATACGCGCGTGTGCATGGTTACTTTGTTTCTGAATGATTTCAAAACCATACTGTCATTGTTGTCAAACATATTTGTTTAAATCACTTAAAAACCTGCACACACCCACACACATACAAAAGGATGTTATTGCTTAAAAATGCCTTTGGCCTGACCCGTGATTTTCACACACAGATGAATCAAACTAAAATCAAAGGAAACAGGCTCAAGGCTGCCCCTGCGTGGACAATACAAGCACGGATAAGGCTGCCTGAAAGGATGCTGCTGAACAGGGAAATCTCCTTTTTTATCTATGGCTAATTTATCCATTTAAAAGGTCACGTCGTGTGTTTTAGAAAAATAGCTATTACCGTAATCTCAGTCAGTTGAAATAAAAACAAACATTTTTTTTTTCCTGCAAACATTCATACGGTTTGATTTAAAACTTTCAGTTCAATTAAGAATGGAGAGGGAATGCGCAAATGTGGAAATGTGAGCATGTGTCTGTCTTCTTTGCCAAAAAAAAAGAAAGTGTGAGTAAATGAGCCAATTTAAAGGATCAATAGGATTATAATTTCGTTTCCAAGCCATATTCACGGCTGAGCACGACCGCGATCAGAAGGTATTGATCAGTCAGGCTGCAGGAGGAGGCTGCCAAAGATAAGAGCCGATAATGAAGGGCTCATTTGTTCAGCCTAAATTCTTAATCACTTTGAGGCAGCGAAGCCCTCCACGAGCTTGCTACTCCACGGTAACCCCGACAAAGTTTTGGCTCAGCCTTTTTTTTTTAACCCTTGCAAAAACTAATCAAACCTGAACACAAAAAATGAAGTAGAAAAAAAGGACAAATATTAGGTTAGAAAATAAATTAGATTTAGCTAAGTCTAATGGCTAAAGTAATGTTAAAATGAAGTCTGAAGAGCAATAATAAAATAATCATGTATTTAATAATCAGTTATTAATAATTATACTTTAATCAGTTATGATAATTATTGATAAACCAAAACTACTAATTATTTAACCTGTCATTGCATTTACTTTGAGGCCATTGACTGACTAATATTTCCCCTATTGAGCGTCACTATTTCTAACGTTTCACTAACTTTATCCCTGTTATCATCTCCAAGCTCATCACTCTTTTCTCTTTCTTTCCTAACCCCAGAATGAAAAAGCACCGTCTGTATCTTTATCAGTTAATTTCCCTCCACCTGCAGGCGCGCTTCCAAAGCTGCAGTTCCAACAGGAGAAGCGCTCAGAGCGCAACGCGCCGCGCCGAGCCGCCCAGAAAACCTTCCTCCTGCGAGGCCGACCGGGCGGCAGCCTCATTGGGTCATAATGCTCTTTGCTATCACCCGACTCCGCCGTCTAATAGACCCAGGCAGGCCTTTCGGCGGCTCTCTCCCTCCCTCCTTGGCAATCACAAGCTGTAATGGAGAGACGAGATGTTAAAAAGCGTCCATGTCAGCAGCATATTGGTGGTTAATGATCTATTAAGTGATCCGTGTGCTTACGGACAGCGAAAAAAAGTGTTGATGCTTGCTTATTCGGCCCCTAATGAGAGTCCCATCCTACGGATTTTAGGAATGAATAACAGAAATAAAATCATCCTTTAAAATGTTACATTTAACAGTTGAGGCACGGATGCTGGAGAGGCCGCGGAGCTCCCCACAGCTCACACCTCTCACACCTATCGGGCCCAGATGGAGACAAGGAGGAGGCCCGCGGTCCGCCTGTCTCAACCGGTCTAAGATGAACGGAGATATTTACTTCTCAGATATTCTATGTGGATTTTTATTCTGTTTCAGGACTTATCCATGCATGCGCACTTACATCTCATGGATCTAAACTAAAACGTTATTTGTGGATATTCTGACAAGGAGTTCCTTTTTTTCTTTTCTTTCTTTTTTGTGATGAAGATATATTTCTTTTCCAATTTTTTAATATCTATCGGCCGATTTGGGGTAATAAATGAATCTACCTGTTAACCAATTGTTTTCTGAAATGTTAAAAAGTGGTGAGAGGAAGCCAACACGACAGGCAAATAAAAGGGGATCATGAGAGATGGTGATGGAGCCTCGCTGGAGTGGCGCTTTGACGCGCTTTGACGCACGGAGACAGTGGAGAGATGCGCACAGCCGAAGCGACTGCTTTAACAAAAACACGTTTTAAGTTGGAAAACTTGCGGATTAAGTTTTTCTACAACTTAAAAATTTTTACTTTACTCCACAGTCAACAGTTTGGTTTGTTAAATTATCAAAGTACCCTTGCATTATGCTTTGTTAGTTAATTATTTATAGTAAATAATTTTACACTTATACCCGTAGTTATGCCTTTTCTTTGGGTTAATTTAATTATTACATACAGAGCGCTATAACGTCATTTATATGTCGTTAGTTTTTTTCTTCTAAAAATCAAAGTCGAATATTAAGTAGCCTATCAGTTTATATCACCTAAGCTGCTAGACTCCAAACTGATCGATTATCTATTAAAGCATATATTATGTCTGCTTACACAGACAGAACATCTGTAGAAGCTTAAAGATACAAAGTAATATGTAATAAAGTGGGAAAAAACACCCCGTTTATATGTGAACAATGTTGATCTAAAAATGTGCATCATTGTTTTTAAAACAACCTTTTTTATTTCTTTGCACAGGCCTCAGTTTCATTCTCGGATTTCTCTGCATGGAGGGCAGCAGTTCCATCCTCAGCATTCAGTGGGTAAGAAGTTGGATGCATACGTTTGCAGGAAACAAAAAAAGGTCTCATTTGTTGTGACAGGGCGCCCCATGTGGCGCTTCTACTCAACGCGGAAAGTTTGATGTGCCTCTTTTTCAGTAGGCACATCTAGCTGCAAATTCTGCACTGAATGTTTTTATTTATTTATTTTTCATTCCTGTCTTGAAATGGCAAATAGACACGGGGAATATATAAAGTTGATTGGGAGGCCAGGGTATAATTGTAGACCCTTTTCTTAGATTAGATGTCTCTGATTGGCATGTAGTAAATATAACAACAAATAAATGTCAGTGTGCACTGCACTGGCTTAATCCCAGAAGAAAAAGGACAATAAATCTGTCTTTTGCTGTGGTCATTTCATTAATGTAAATTGCAATGCAGAATATGATAGTTTGGCTTTGTTCCAGTTGGCTCCTCGATCTGGCTTGTGCATGATATTAGGTTTTATTATGAATTGGCACAGTGTGACCACAAAATATAGGCGACACCACAAGAACCAAATATCAGTGTGCAGGCATAACATAATTAAAGGCGGTATTCTTGGTCATAATCACAATTTATATCTGTGTTTCTCCAAGCTAGGGATTGGCTTCTGAAACGCCAAAGAAACTTATGTTGTACTGAAAACCTAACTAGAGTCAGTTTTTCCGAACACTTTCATGCTTCCTCTTAAATAGTCTCCTAAATTGTCCTTAAAATCTCTATGACATGCCACTGTTTGTGGACAGTTTCTGTACATGAACCTGTCAGTCCATACACATGGGTTACATAAAGAAAGAGTTCAGGCAATATTCTGGAAAATATCTTCTGCACAGCTTATAAAGCACCTGGATGTTATTAAGCTAATAAAGTAAAGAGAGAAATTTAATAGGCCTCAGATAGCTCTGCGCAATATCTAAAGATACTTCTTTGCTGTCAAGCATGCAATGCAATAATGTTTATGACCAGAACTACTTTGTTCTAGTTTTCTGCTGTGAATGGTGTTTCCCTAGCAAAGGCTACTTGTTCCATGAAAGGCGTTCTTAAAAGACTGTTGGACTCCCAGCAGTCAATGTTGTGCGACTGACATATTTGAGAGTTTTGCGACACAGCAACAACTTGAAGTGCTTTTTTATGTCCAGTAAATGCTATTGTTCCTCCCTCATTTGGGAACCCACATCGCTAACCTGCTATGTATTGCAAAAAACCTCATACAGAAGGTTGACTTTAAGATAGACCAGCGTTATTTTTCAACACAGAACTTTCTGTCTGGATGTTCCCTAGTCAATCTGAATTGTCTGATATACAAAGAAAAGTTATTGAAGGCTTAAAATATGTGCAAAAGTGCAGACAAAAGGGAAAAGTTGGCATATAATGCAGACAAAAATTATTGATCCGACCCCAGGACTGGGTCAGGTAAACCTCTTAGATGGAAAGCATCTTGTAGAGAAATCATAATCAAGGATTTATCTTGGCTAAATTTATCTATTAGTTACACACTTGACTAACCAGATAATAGCCTAAAAGAGGCATTTATAACACTTTATGTGCACTAATGACTGCATGTCTGAATTGATTGTTTTCTTGATATTTGACTCGTAATGTTAAATGTATTTTAAAAAGAGTCTCTGAATTAAGTGCTTTTATATGCCTGTTATTATCCTGAAGATACTATGTACCTAATCTGGAAGTCATGCCTGTTGTTTCCAAGGTAAGTCAACAGGACAAAGTTGTGGCTAATTTCCCTTTAATTAAATTAAAAATCTAGAGAAAAATATATATTAGTATTAATAATCATATATTAGCAATATGTTTTTGCATTTATTTAAGTGCTTTGTTATCTTGAAAAAGTTCTATAAGCTTAATTCAAACAGTTTGTTATATCAATACATCCATAAAACAATCATCTAATTACTCTTCTTTTTCCCCTACATTTCTCTTCTCTCATTCCATGCTCACTCTCCTTTCCAGATGACCTCGTCGCCTCTCGCCTCCCTCACCCTTCTCCTATGTTCCCGGCCCTGGCCCTGCCCACCCTTGGTCATTTATCATGGGCCAGGAGGGGAGCCCACAGGCCTGCAGGCCTCTGTCAGCCCCTGCAATCGGCTCATTGTGGCTCCCAGCAAACAAGTGTAGGATCAGCAAAAGTCTATTAAAGCCTGGTGGGCCTTTCTCAGCCAATTGGGTTCGGGTCAGTGAGCTGCTCTCCTTGCTGCTCCGAGAGCTCTTTGTGTCGCCGCCGTTCACTGACACAGATCCCCACAAGATTAATGATTTTTAGCAGCCATTTGGGTTTCATTCACAGGGTTCTCTCTGTCTTTCCTTTTCCACCTTTTCCCTTTTCTTGAGTTCTCTACCTTTTCCTCCAACCTCATGTTTTATCCATTTTCCTTATCTCCTAATTTCCCAATTCTGCATCCTTCCTTATTTTACCTCTCAATATCAAGAAGTCATCACTGTACTTATAAAATATGTCCATACAACTGTGTCCCATTTTCTCTCAAAGTTGCCCTTGATCTATAGATACTTTTTTGCTTTAGTTGTTTAAGAAGTGATGGACTCCTCTGCCATAAATCCTAAGGACTTTTAGAAACCAGATCTACTATCCACATTACTGCACCGGCAGGTTTCCCCACACTGTCCCTCAAGAGGCTCAGAGTAATTTGAAATCCTAGAGCCACTTCCACAACTTCCATGTTGTCATGTTCTCAGTGTAGTTTCCAGTAATTACTGCAGGTTAAGTGCACATCCCGGAGCTCAGTGGAAGCAGCTCAATCCCTCACCTGGGACATGACTCAGCAGAGTTCAGGTCATCTGGCCATTTCTCTGACCACTGGACCACACCCCAACCTACTTTAAACCCACAGGACAAGCACTATTTATGAGCGGCGCGCATTTACTTCCATCACGTAATGTAATGGTAGTTTTATTTACTGGCTCAACTGTTTGCATAAAGACAGGTCCAGACTGATGTGTGTTTCATTAGCACATTACAACTGATACAGGTGCTGGTCATAAAATTAGAATATCATGAAAAAGTAGATTGATTTCAGTAATTCCATTTAAAAAGTGAAACTTGTATATTATATTCATACATATACAAACTCATATATTTCAGATGTTTATTTTGTTTAATTCTGATGATTACAAATGACAACAAATGAAAATCTCAAATTCATCATATCAGAAAATTAGAATATTGTGAAAAGGTTCAAAATTGATGGCCCCTGGTGCCACACTCTAATCAGCTAATTAACTCAAACCACCTGCAAAAGCCTTTAAATGGTCTTTCAGTCTAGTTCTATAGGCTACACAATCATGGGGAAGACTGCTGACTTGACAGTTGTCCAAAAGACGACCATCGACACCTTGCACAAGGAGGGCAAGACACAAAAGGTCATCGCTAAAGAGGCTAGCTGTTCACAGAGCTCAGTGTCCAAGCACATTAATAGAGAGGCGAAGGGAAGGAAAAGATGTGGTCGAAAAAAGTGTACAAGCAAGAGAGATAACCGCACCCTGGAGAGGATTGTGAAACAAAACCCCTTCAAAAATGTGGGGGAGATTCACAAAGAGTGGACTGCAGCTGGAGTGAGTGCTTCAAGAACCACCACACACAGACGTATGAAAGACATGGGTTTCTGCTGTCGCATTCCTTGTGTCAAGCCACTCTTGAACCACAGACAGCGTCAGAAGCGTCTTGCCTGGGCTAAAGAGAAACAGGACTGGACTGCTGGTGAGTGGTCCAAAGTCATGTTCTCTGATGAAAGTAAATTTTGCATTTCCTTTGGAAATCAAGGTCCCAGAGTCTGGAGGAAAAGAAGAGAGGCACTTCATCCACGTTGCTTGAAGTCCAGTGTAAAGTTTCCACAGTCAGTGATGGTTTGGGGTGCCATGTCATCTGCTGGTGTTGGTCCATTGTGTTTTCTGAGGTCCAGGGTCAACGCAGCCACATACCAGGAAGTTTTAGAGCACTTCATGCTTCCTGCAGCTGACCAACTTTTTGGAGATGCAGATTTCATTTTCCAACAGGACTTGGCACCTGCACACAGTGCCAAAGCTACCAGTACCTGGTTGAAGGACCATGGTATCCCTGTTCTTAATTGGCCAGCAAACTCTCCTGACCTTAACCCCATAGAAAATCTATGGGGTATTGTGAAGAAGAAGATGCAATACACCAGACCCAACAATTCAGAAGAGCTAAAAGCCACTATTAGAGCAACCTGGGCTATCATAACACCTGAGCAGTGCCACAGACTGATCGACTCCATGCCACGCCGCATTGCTGCAGTAATACAGGCCAAAGGAGGCCCAACTAAATACTGAGTGCTGTACATGCTCATACTTTTCATGTTCATACTTTTCAGTTGGCCAACATTTCTATAAATCCTTTGTTTTTATTGGTCTTCAGTAATATTCCAATTTTCTGATATGATGAATTTGAGATTTTCATTTGTTGTCATTTGTAATCATCAAAATTAAACAAAATAAACATCTGAAATATATGAGTTTGTATGTAATGTATGAATATAATATATAAGTTTCACTTTTTAAATGGAATTACTGAAATCAATCTACTTTTTCATGATATTCTAATTTTATGACCAGCACCTGTACATTACACTTTTCAACAGTAGATCTTTAAAGTTTTTCTTCAAGATATGTTTTTCATTTATAATATTACTGGCTACTGTTAATGTTTCTCTCATTTGTTCCTCAGTAATCTTTAATTGCGAAGACCCAAGGTTTTAGTAAATTAAACTAACACTGATTTAGATTGTCTGGTGGATTAGTATTCTGAAACACTTTATTATGTGGTTGAGTCGAGAGTTTTGAATTTAATGAAAGCCAGTATGAAATACTTTAAACAAAATGGATAAAATGGAATATTTGGAGATTTTTCTTTGCAAAACAGTTCAGAGACACAATATGCTTTGCTCATCTCAGAATAGCATTTGTTTTGTTTGGTTAGTGATTCAAAAACTTGGCAATAACCTGGTTATTTTTGTAAAAATTATGGTATTACTTATTCAACCAGAGATCTAAAATGTTTTTAACTCCTATTTAACTTTTAATCTTTAGAATAGGCTGCTTATACAGAGACGCTTCAGTATCCTGAATCTAACCATTTCAAGTATAATGAAGCATAAAGTGCTTTCTAAAGTATTCTCCCCCTTTGAAAATGTCCCACAATTTGTCATAGTAATGCCACAAATTTAAATTTATTTCAGATATATGAAAAAGTAGCTCATTATTGTGAAAAAATCAGTATAGGTAAAATGCACCCGAAGGAGTCATAACCTAGAATTTTCCAAATACAATCCTTTAAAGATTGTCTTTAAATTCATGTTTAACCATTTTTAGGAGAAAAAAAATTAACAGCTCACTCTGACCCCTTTAATATCACCTTTTTTCACAAGAATCTGACTTTTGTGTATGTGCATTCATAAGGATGTGGTGTTAGGGGTGTTAGCAGTGTTAGCAGTTTGCCATGGTTTGTTTGCCATTATCTCCTGGTCCCTCAGACAAAAAACATTAAAAAAGTTACATAATAAGCAACCCTTGTGGATTTTCTGCAAGTTAGTCTCTGATTGTAGGAAGCACCTTTTGGTGGAATAGAGATGGGCGTGATGAAGGCAAGGCAGGCAATCAAGGAGTAGAATCACTTGTCTTCACCAGCATTGTACATCTAAAGACTCAGATTAACACCATTCATCATTTTGATGTAAAGCCCTCCACTGTAACTCTGGGCATACGTTTAGAATCCTTCCTGCTTGAAGGTGAAATATTTCCTCTGTCTGGGGATTTTTCAGGCTGCCACAGGTTTTCCTCTCACAATAGCTCTGGATAACCATTGATCTCAGAGACTCTGACCAGTTTCCTTGTTCATGCTGACAGATTCCCAACATTAGAAAGATGCCACCATAATGTTTCATAGAGAAGATAACACATTCCCCTATGTGTTTGCTCATTTATCTACAGTATATGACTTCGGCAAACAGTATATTGAGCACCCTGTAGCTTTATTTAAAACTATGGCTTTCTTACCATTCATCTACAAAGTTGTTGTTTTTGAGTTACAGGAACTACAACTATTATGGCGTTGAATTCTCCAAGCTGACCTGTGGATCTCTGCAGCCCATCCGTTTACTGTGGACTTTCTGGTGTTTGTTTCTGATAATGCTCTCATTTTCTGGACTGTCAGTTCACATAAATGACCTTGTCTTGGTCAGTTTGCAATTTTGCTATGTCCTTTGTCTTTCATCTTTATGGTGTTGTTTCCATGGTGGATTATATTGATGGATTATATTCATAGGTATCAAAACTAAGGCGCCAATAGAATACAACACATACATGCCATACTTTTCACGTTTAACATACTTCTGAAAGACTTTAAAAGCCATGTTTTGTTTTTTTAGGTAAAAAAAATCCCAGTTACAGTAGATAATAATTAATAATACCTACTGTAGCTGTGTGGGCTGTTCAGTGAAACAATGGGTAGCACTGCAGCATTCTGGGTTCGATTCCCGGCCCAGGGTCTTTCTGCATGAAAAGACCCTTGGACTATTGGAGACCCTGGTCTGCATGGTCCTTTCCATGCAGACCAGGGTCTCCCATAGTCCAAAAACATGACTGTTAGGTTAGTTGGCTTCTCTAAATTCTCCTTAGGTGTGAATGTGTGCGTGAATTGTTGTGTGTCCTGTTTGTGTCTGTGTTGCCCTGCAACGGACTGGCGACCTGTCCTAGGTGTACCCCACCTCTCGCCCATTGACTGCTGGAGATAGGCAACAGCACCCCTCGCGACTCCACTCGGGACAAGCATCTCAGATAATGGATGGATGGATACTGTAGCTGTATATGATAAGCAACCCTTGCGGATTAACTGAAGGCTGATAACTGAAGGCATAGTAAAGGGGTACCAGCCCATTTACAATGCCTGTCAATCTTTCAACAAATGCAAGGGGGGAATACCTTGAAGGGCACTTTATGTGTGAGAACAGTTTCTAATTTTGAAATTACTTAAGTGAATCTTTTACCATATTAGTCTGAAAATATTAGAATTAGTGGTACTTTTAAACTGTTAAACACAGCTGCAGCTAATGTAAAGATTCAGTCTACAGAAAAAAATTCAGAATGTAAAAAATTATATCTTTTCCTTTAGAGGGCATGTTTTAAACTCATAGGTTATGTTTTTATTACTTAAAAATGCAATTTTTACACTGACAATGTATAGTAAAGCATGTGTTCTTGTTGGGAGGGTATTGTGTCTGTTCTTAAAAAAAAATCAAGAAGAAGATTTCTATGGAGTAGCATCAGTGAGGCAGCCTTAAACTCCCAGTTTGTTTACAGCATGTCTGTTTTAAGCCTGAATGGATGAACCCTGCCAGCCGCTGTGTCCATCCACCTGCCCTGTTTCCTGTCTGATTAATGTTCTGCGTGTGTGTGTTTGTTTGTATGTGTGACTCTGTGTAAATGGTTATAGATGGGACAACACCACCACACTGGCAGTGTGAATCATTACTCACACAGATAGGGAGAGACCCAGGGCCAAGAAACCCCTAACACATCCTCCATCGTCCTGTGCAGACACAACCCCCCCATCCCCCACCCCATACATGTTTCTTTTGGATTATTCATTTTAAGCCTGGCATTTCACTAAATCCTCCACTCTTTATTAGAATCCTGGACCCTTGGATTCACCTGTATGGGGTAAGATGAGAGACATTTGTTCTTTGAATAAATATTACTTTTGACAAAGAATCCATACATTCTTTCTGAACTCAGAATATGATGATGCGAATGACAGGGTTGAACTTTTTGGAAAAGTCCAAGTGACAATTGCTGTGGCTTTGTAGGACTGTCATTTGTTAACTACCCAAATTTAAGATGAATGAAAAAATAACTGTGGAAGTATCCATAAATCCATTCAAAGTCTTAGAAAGGATTATAGACTTCCATATGTCAGGTTCATTAGTAACCAGAAGCCTAAAGGTGCCACAT